AATAAGAAATGAATAAAGAAACAAACAAGTCACCTTCCCATTGCGTGCTGGTGGCTCAAATTTCAAATTTCATTCTCTGGGAATTGGACGAATAGGCCTTGTTCCTAGTAAAAACAAGCCATCATTGAATGAAATAATTAATGAACCTGATCAGTAGTTACTTGTCTTAGTGAATCTGGATTCATCAGATCCATTCCTAAAATCAGACTCGATTATGCAAAGTTTAAAGAAAGAACACTAACATCTGTACTGAAATATTTCATGGAATTCAAAATACTGCCTTTGGAAATATGTCTATTTCAAATTGCTTTTGACATTTTCTTCTGCAATGTGGAAAAGACACTCAATTAAACTCATATTATTTTCTTTATTATGTTTATATACTGTTTAGATGTTAAAAAATAAAAATAAAGGAATGCTAGTTTAAATTTTTTTTCTTTGGCAAATTTAGTATTTTATAAGCTCCACTGACAATTTTTTCTTTTCCTTTCCTTAAGAACAGAATTTTGACTGTGTTAAAGAGAGGCATTTCTTGGTTTGAAATTATTCCCCCAAATCTGGAGGTTTGGTGTCAAAAATATTCAACTTTTATAAAGTTTTTAGCAAAAATTTCCATGGAGAGGGCTCCATAGACTATTGAATCAGAAAACCCAGGGTTAAAATCCAAATGCCAATTATTGGATACAAGGCCTTCATCAAAATAGCCATCCTCCTGAACATCAATTTCATCTTCTATAAAATGTTGGCAGTAATATCTAATATATAAGCTCCTAGCTCAGCACAACTGGAATGTGGCAGGAAAAAAATTCAGTAAATGATAATTACTATTTTTGTTTACATTAGTATAAGTATTTATAATAACAGGACACTAAGTTAATTCTATGTCTTCTCAATGTGGTCAACAAAAATCAACATTGAAAGTAACACTAACTGATCTACGTTACTAGTACGCTATTTTGCATGATTTTCTAAAATCTAGGATTCACCACCTAAGGAGGGATGTCAAGAGGGACTGTGGAGCAGCAAAAAGGGCCCACAACACATTGTCTGTTTAGGTCAACTCAGGGATCTTACAGGTCACTAGGTCCTTCCTTGATTTTTTTTTTTTTTTTTTTGAAGGGATGATGCTCTGCTCTTCATTCATGGGTGGTGTAAGCATGCAAGAGGCACCTTCAAATTATTCTCTTGCCAGTCCCTGTATCTTCTTACCCAACTCAAAACTATAGAGGGACTATCTTGCTGAGTTTCCTGGATTCCTATCCTCATCCCTTCTATCCTTCTTATTATATTTTTAAACTAATTGATGCCAAGTATATATTGTAGCTAGTAAGAGCTGAACATTATTCTCTCTTTAGGAAAATAAAAAAGTATGTCTACGAAGAAAATTCTTCAATTCTGACTTTTAAAATCTGAAATTCACTCAGTTGCATTGTCTCTATAAATATTTACTTGAATGTTTTATTTTGTCTTCTTTATTATAACTGAAAGTTATTAAAATTCCGCTTCACAACCATTTGAAGTCCTTTTCTCAGTCTCTGCATATTATCAGATTAAACACGCATTTGGCAAGTAATTTAAAAGTATTAATTCTGAGACCCATTTGCATCATTTAAACCAGTATCATTACATCGGGTTTTAGATACCTCAAAAATCTAAGCTTACGAATATGAAACATTTATGTTTTTTTCAAAGCATTTAGGTTGAATAACTTAAATCTAGGCTTTAACTTTGTCCCAGTTTCTTTTTTTTTTTTGAGACAGAGTCTCATTCTGTTGCCTGGGCTAGAGTGCCGTGGGGTCAGCCTAGCTCACAGCAACCTCAAACTCCTGGGCTCAAGGGATCCTCCTGCCTCAGCCTCCCAGGTAGCTGGGACTACAGGCATGCGCCACGATGCCCGGCTAATTTTTTCTATATATTTTTAGCTGTCCAATTAATTTCTTTCTATTTTTGGTAGAGACGGGGTCTTGCTCTTGCTCAGGCTGGTCTCGAACTCCTGAGCTCAAACGATCCACCCGCCTAGGCCTCCCAGAGAGCTAGGATTACAGGCGTGAGCCACCGCGCTCGGCCTTGTCCCAGTTTCTTACTGATCTTCCTCAACCTCATTCCCACCCTCCCTTCAACCTGCCTATGATGAAATTCTTTTGTTGTTGTTGAAATAAAACCTACACCCATAACAAGTGTTCCAATTATGCTGTACGGCTAGATGAATATTTACAGAGTACATATGCCCTGCTTGCTCTCCAGAAGGCCCTTCCTGTCAACACCCAGATATTAGTTACCCTTCCCCAACCACTCACCTGGCTTGTAACACACTCATTAATTAGTCTGCATTTGAAGTTTATATAAATAGAATAATATAATATGTTTCATTTGTACCTGACCTCTTTTGCTCATCATTCTGTTTGGGAGATTCATTTATGTTGTTATATGAGTAGTGTCTTTGCCTCAGGGCTCCAATTTTTGCCTGTTATGAATAATGTGTTTTGGTGCACAGGTGTACATATTTCTCCTTCGTATATAACCATAAATTGAATTTCTATGAAAGAGGGTATGCGTATATGTAACTTTTGTATTATTGCCATTTTCTAAAGGGTTTACCAATTGATAATCTCTCCAGAAATGTATGAGAATTTTAGTTGTTCCATGTCCCTGCCAACACATGCTATTGTTAATTTAAATAACTACAGGATCCAGGGAAGTAATGTAAGTGAAGGGAGTTTATTAGATGCATAACAATAGTGGATGGCAGATTTCATGGTGACTACGGGTACAGATGTAGAATAGCATGGTTGGGGATACTCTCGTAACCAGGAGAGAACATGTTTGCTGTGAGGAGCAAGCAGTACCACTAACTAGGTTCTTGGCATGTAAAAATATAATTCTGGTGTTGCCATCTTTTTATTTTTCAAGAGAAATAAAAATGCAGATTTTTGGTGGAATTTTCTGATTAGAATTGTTGGCAACTATTTCAATTTGCCAACAGAAATTCAAATAATTCCAATTCTTAAAATGATATTGGCCAAATTAAGTACAACTGAAGGTCATTGTCCATATCCATCATGCAGGCTGTAAATTTCCACACTTTTTAAATGATATATCTGTGCTCTCAGAGGAGGACATTTTTTCCCTGACTCATTATTATACCTGGATCAACAAAATTAAGTCTTATAAATAGAAAATTTTAGAAATACATGCCAACCCATTTTCCTGAGGGTACGTATACTTCTGCCCGCTTCTCTTCTCTTACTCTATTGCAAAAGCACTTTGATTAACCTTTGCCGTTTAACCTGATTAACATGTTAAAATAGAATTAAGAAGGGAAATGTAAAGAAATTGCATTTAATAACTATTGAAAACTGTTTTTATGTGTATGTTTCAAAAAAAACATTTTTTGCAAGAGTTGAGTTTGACAAAAATTAGTATTCTTTAGAGTTTAGAACTGGAAATCTAGAAAGGGCATCTACTCTAACAAATCCTTTTTTTAAAAAAAAAGCTTTAAATTTATAATTATCCATATGTTTTAAAACATAAATATCCTTGGAAGATATCATACATTAACTCGAATTCTTATTAATATATAAATTATTGTCAGATGATTTTATCAGAACAGTTGTAATGAATGGAAGAACACTTAGTACTAAAGAACTATTAGTGGTAAGATGAAACAAATGCTGAAAACAGTGTTATAATTTTCCTCAAGGCTAAAGTCAGTTAGCCTTGTAGTCAAAAATACTACTAAATATTAACTGTTTATTGACAATTTTACAAGTTATCCAAAAACAAATGAAAATGCCCATCTGCAATTTTTAACAGGTTTACCTTTAGGAAAAACTTGTTTTTCCTCCACAAGTCTAACATAATCTTATTTTGTATAAAATAGTTACAGCCAGAAAAAAAAAATTGAATATGTTTAACTGACACTTGTAATTAAAGTTATTTTGGCAGGAGTGTTTTGAGAGTCATCAAATTCTATTTGTGAAAATCTGACTTTAAGCTGAAATATCATATGAATTTTCTTTCAAATACAGTTTCTCTTTTTGAACAATAGGAATTATCCATGGAATCTGGAATTGATCCTGGCCAGGAATATGGACAAGATTATTACAGTTATGAGCATGGGTACATCTTCAGATTTTTTTATTCAGAATCTTCCTGTAGTATTTATTAATAATAGGAAGTTATTGATTGATTATTACTAACATTTGTTTTTAAATGTCATTTTATTAGTTTAATATTTAAAAATAAGTAATGTATCTAGCTTTAATTTCAATGACGTTTTAACCATTTTTCTATATTGAGTTCTGTATTGATGTTTTACATTGATGTTGATTACAATTCTAGAAATGTGGTAAAATTACTCAAAACTATTTCAATGGAAAAATAGAAGTCAAATGTATTTGCTCAATTCCTGAATTCACCATTTATTTTATGTGAGATGTTTAACATTTTATCTAATCAGTCGGCCTAAAGTTTTGCCCCAGAGAGCAATTAAGAAGCAGAAAACATACTTTAGAATTCAGTAATAAGTAGTTCAAAAGTCACTTATACACATAAGTTAATTGCTTTCAAAAATAACAGCAGAAAAATGTGAATACCATTACAGATCATGTTTGAAGCAAACTTTTTTGCTATAAAGATATAGATTTTATGTTCTGAATGAGCTATTACACTTTTGGAAAGAACCTATTTATGTGGCCTGGGTTCTTCAGTTAATTAAGAAGCAATATGCCTTTTTCCTCATTCTAATATCTCCCAAAACTTATATCTGAAATAACTCTCTTTATTGTTATTCCAGGGCACCATTATGGCAAAAATCATTGGTCATCAGGTAGTAGTTCTTACTCTATAGTTTTGTAACTAATTTGCAAGAAGCCTAATAGGTGCTGTATAAATATCTGTTGATTGAATGACCGAAGAAAATGAAGAAAGGAGAGCTCATCTTGGTAGATTCTACTCGGATCACATGACAGAATGTTTAAAGTTATAAGTTTATATTACAGGTATGAAATGCCTCAATATGGAAGTCGCCGCCGATTGTTACCACCGGCTGGACAGGAGGAATATGGTGAGGTGGTTGGTGAAGCTGAGGAAGAATATGAGGAGGAAGAGGTAATTTTATTATGTGTAGTAATATTCCAAGAACAATATTTTTTAACCCTATATGACTAGCAGGCTATAGAGCATTTCAGCTTTTAGAAATCCTATTCATTTGCTTTGCATAGAAATTTAACAAATGCTGACCATTTCATTGCCTTGTCTATGAAGGAAAATTAATTTTTAATAGTTTAATTTATTTCCTTCTATAAGATGTCAAACATTTGGAAAAACTTACAATAAAATTTATGTTTTCCAAAATTCTAAATTTTACTCCATAAAGATAATATTATAATCAAACATATTTTTAAAATTCTGCAACACAATGGCTGCTTTTGTTCCCATGTTATCTAGCATAACTAAAAATCATGAAAAATATAATCTGTTTTTTGATTATCAGAGAAAAATAAAATATTTCCTCCAATATTTTTGAAGGAATTATGTTTAAATTAGCATGAATCATTTCTATCAAATTCTTATACTTTGTCTGCAATATTTACTTGGCAAATTTATCCCAAAACAACAAAAACAACAAATAAACATCACTGTAGCTTTAACATGTTCAGAATTTAACAAAATAGTCAAATTTCTCATAGGATATGATAAATCATCACGTTTATGATTATTTAAAATTTTTAGACTTTAAAGGAAATACATAAAGCTATCAAGCAAAGTTCTAGGAATAGGAGAAAGAAGAAACATTGATTATTTCTTTTTTTCTTTGATCTAAGATGCAAAATAAACTTTGAATACCAAAATCTATTAATTTCCCCCTTTTTTTGTCATATCATAACTACCCCCAAGCTGACACTTCAATTGCATTTTCACAATTTTCAGGAAAAGCCAAAGAAAATTATAAAACCAAAAGTTGAAATTAGAGAGCCTAGTGAGGAGGAAGAAGTAGTCGTAACTATTGAAAAACCACCAGCAGTTGAGCCTACATACACAACATGGAAGAGAGCCAGGATATTCCCAATGATATTTAAGAAAGTTAGAGGACTAGCTGATAAAAGAGGCATCGTGGACCTTGAAGGTGAAGAGTGGGAGAGACAGCTGGAGGAAAAAGAAAAAGATTATTTGAAACTAACTCTGGACCAAGATGAAGCTACAGAAAGCACTGTGGAATCAGAGGAGGAGTCCTCCAGTGACTACACTGAATACAGCGAGGAAGAATCTGAGTTCAGTGAGTCTGAGACTACAGAAGAGGAATCTGAGTCAGAGACACCCTCTGAGGAAGAGGAGAGTTCTACCCCTGAATCAGAAGAATCTGAATCTACAGAGTCCGAAGGAGAAAAAGCAAGAAAGAATATTGTGCTTGCAAGAAGACGACCCATTGCTGAGGAGGACAAGGAAGTCAAGGGTGGAAAAAAGGAAGCAGCTGAAGCACAAGCAATACGACCTGAGGTGGAAGAAGAACACTCAGAAGAAGAAGCAGAAAGTGAACTGATCCCTGTGGAAGAATCTACAGACCTTGAAGCTCAAGATGTCCCCGAGGAGGGCAGTGTAGAATCAGCTTCAGTGAAAGGTGGCGTGGAAAGTGAGGAGGAATCAGAATCGGAATCTGGCAATAGTAGCAGTAGTAGCGAAAGTCAGTCTGGAGGTCCGTGGGGCTTTCAGGTGTCAGAATACGACAGAAGCAAGAGGACAAACCAAAGGAAGTCTCCAGGAGCAAATTCTGAAGGTTACAACACCGCACTTTAAAAGAGATCACAGTAGGTGGGGGTTTTGCAGTGATGAGTGCCCTTGTGTGCAGTGCCTCTGTGTGCTCTCTGAAATCCACTTGAGGGGTAGGAAGTTGATCATGATTTTGAAAGGACTTAAGATCAGAAGCATGCTAGAAGTAAATATATATACTATCCAAATAGATTTGTATGTTAGAATGTATTAAAAGTGACTAATCCTTCTTGCATTACTAAATTGGAACACATGGAATCAACTAATCAATATTTACTATTTTCTGGTGAAATTTTATAAATGCAATGTGGCATTATGTATTATCGGTGATGCCCTGTCTATTGGAATGGATAGGATGAATATATATATATTCATATATATGTGTATATATATAACGGTTTTTATATTGTCTTTCAAAATAAATACTGGGACAAGCTGCAACAAATTATCTCTAATAGTCCACTTTTGCATATATGTACATTTCAACTGGCAAAGGTATCATCAAAGGTATCATGAACATGTTCAAATAAGTTTGTATCTGCCAATTTCAAATATTAGGAGTTATGTAATATTTAAAAAAATAAAAGTTATTACCAATTATTTTCTGTTGTGGTTATAAGTTAAAGTGGATTTTAAAAAATGAATTATAACACTTATGAATTTTTTTCTGGGTAAGTAAACACAAAAATTTCTAAAAATTAGAAAGCATGGATTACTCAGTGTAAAATGTTAATATTTATAGCTCACATATCCCCAAAATGCAATACTCTTTTGAGAAGAACATAGTATAGTTTAACCTTTGCTCCTTGCCATTTTAAATGTTGATTGGTAAAAGGAAAATGAACTGGTGAAAATGTCCATTGTATTCCAGTTGCTTAAAGAAAGAAAGTTTAGAATAATCAGCTTTCAGTTTTGTGTATTACTAAGTGAATTATGGAAGTTAAGAAAATATTTTCTTTAAAGTTAACAAATATCTAAGTGGGATAACTCAGAAAATAAGGGTCCTTCAAGTGAATAATACATTAAATTATACAAAAGTTTTGGCTAACAATGGAGAGTAAATTAAAAATTAGAATCATGTGAGTTTAAATTTTTTTAAAATATTAGAAATAGAAGCATTAATATGGACACAATATACTAATGCTATTCATTTCTTTCAGTTTAACTTTCCTGAATAGTGTAGCAGCTGGCAAACAATGGATCAGTTCCTTAGATATATATATATAGAATTGGTGCAAATAAACTGATGTTAATAAAGAGTTGCTTCCTTCTATCTCTCTTGAATTAAGTTTGGTGGCTTTCTAAATGCCATTGTTTTGGATTTCACAGGCATTGTAATGTTCGCCTTTTTAATTCCTTTGATAATAACTTACTTTTTTTTTTATTTTGTCAGTGGGCAAGAAAAAGAATGATCAAATTAGTTGTCGATCGAGAGTATGAAACTAGCTCAACTGGAGAAGAAAGCGCTACTGAATGTCAGAGGAACCGTCTTCACAATCCTAATATTCACAGTAATATCAACGGTAATATATATATTGCACAGAATGGTTCTGTGGTGAGAACCCGCCGTGCCTGCCTCACTGATAACTTAAAAGTTTCTTCACCTGTCCGATTGGGGAGGCACTTTAAGAAACTAGACAAGTTGGCAGTGACACATGAGGAAAATGTACCCCTGAACACATTATCAAAGGGGCCGTTTTCTACTGAGAAAGTAAACACAAGGCCAACTCTGGTTACATTTACCCCTTGCCCTGTGGGGACTGACAGTATAGCAGCGAAGCCTTTGGGGAACAGACTGAAAAGCACAGTTGAACAGGAGGAGTCCATGATTGACAGTAAGAACATCAAGGAGGCTTTGGAATTTCATAGTGACCACACACAGTCGGATGATGAAGAGCTTTGGATGGGCCCCTGGAACAACCTTCATATACCAATGACGAAACTGTGACTGATTTTTTAAAAAGTTATGTTAACTTTTACTTCAGTTTTTAATAAACTGTGCTTTTTACTGTCACCGAGAAAACAATGTATGGAATTTATATCATGCACACAAGCTAAAACTTTAAACAATATGCTTTAAAATTTAAAAAGAGACAAATTTCCACTCACATTTGTATCAATTATTATAATTGTTTTTTTTTTTCCAGAAAATCTTTTTGGACAGATTCTTGATTCACTAAATAACATATCATCTAAACATTTAGCTGCTTTATGGAGTCTTGTTTTTTTTTTCATTTTAATAAATGAAATAATTTACTAAGTAATCATTTATATTTTGTTGGTTAACATAGATTACATTTCATTTCTAGCTTCACAGAACCTTTTTGGTACATGTAATTTTACATTCCATAGGCAGATGGGGAAAAAATATTAGGAGATTTTTATAGTTAATGAGTTTGTACAGTTGCTGTCTGTACTGTTCTGGCTTTTTATAAATGAAAGATGGAATTGCAGAGTAATAGTAAATGTGGGAATCACCTGTAAATTATTTTAAATTATGAACTTATTTTCCTTATTGTCTAATATAAAGTTTTTCATATTTTTACATACACACACACACACACAATTTTCAAAGAACACTTGAAGTTATACCTCATACCCCTTTTTATCAATATTATTTACAATCTTCCCTGGTGCCCCCCTAAACATTCTTTCCATATGAAATATAAGAGATAATTTAGTTTAGTCACTTGAAATTAAATAACTTTTTGGAGCAACACAGAATTCTCACCCTTAGCAAAAGCTTACTGAGAAGTGGGAAATGGTCAAATAGGCAATAATGCATCTAGACCAACAGTTTCAGTATGAAAAACATGGTAAGGTCAGGGAGATCTCACATTAATGTCATTGGACATGAATGGTTTCTAAACTCAGCATAAAGGAATTTGTCAGGGTCAAGACTTTATGTAATAGGAGAATGCCTATAAAGGCTGTAAATCCATAATTTCAAATGTATTATTGCATTTAACTTCTTTCATTTTCAGTTTATTTATGGAATATTTTAGTGCACACATATTGATGTGCTTAAAGTCCAGAGCCAGAAAATGTGATTGCCTGGGCATTTTTTAATCAAGGAACACAGTCTTGATTTTTTATCATTGAACAAAGCACAGTCTTTCACCATTAACAGAAGTGAAAACATAATATTCTTTTTAAAAAATTGCCTTGTGTGTTGCATACTTTCCAGATGTAAAAAGAATGAAACAATATAGATTAAAAGATTCAGAATTCTATTGAATATGACTTAGTATGATATAGATATAGCTCACCTCAAATTTTGCACAGTATTGACCAAGTTCAGATTTAATGAAATTCCCACATGCATGCAGATTCTCTCGTTGAAGGATTGAATAATGCAGTATTTTTTATTCTCCCTTACATGTTTCACATTTTAAAAAATAGTTTGTTATATGCTATTTCCTTTTTCCAAAGTGAATGAATTGCATTAACATAAACTTGCCAACTTATATGAATAGTATATTTTTATTTCAGATTTCCAAAAGTATTTGGAATCACATACAGTAACATCTCATTTACCTAATTTTATTGAAAATTAATGCATCCTATACCCTTGCTAGAAAAACTGTCAGCATTAACTAGGAGCTTATTAGAAACATAAAATCATGCCCATGTCCCCAGGCCTACTAAACAAGAGTCCACATTTTCATAAGACCCCTAAAGTGGTTTATATGCATATTAAATTCTGAGAAGCAATGATCTATATACTATTGAATTCCAGGGTTTACTCCTTCAAGCACCAAAGTAATTGTTTTTAGTATAAAATATTTTGTATAGAAATTAGATTAAGAATATTATATTTCCATACTGGCTCAGAATCACTGAATATAATTTAATGATGTCCCAAGTTCATTTCAACCAGCATCCCATGGTATTCTCTTTGCATACATCTTTAGGTAATTTTTCTGCCTTTAATTTCCAGCTGTGATATTTAACTTATGTTGTTGTGCCTTTCTCAAATTTTTTTTCTTTCAGTTTATGTCTTCTAATATCCTCGTGAGAAAGTTTGTGGTTTTTGTTTGTTTGTTTTGCTTGTTCTTATTTTAAAAATCATTATACCTGAGTTGGAGATCAGGTAGGTGGATTCAAGCAAAAATTTTGTGATTCTCAGAAGCTTTCTTTGGTCACTATTGGGATATGTGCACTGTTTTGGAAATCTGATGTTGGCAGAAGACTAATGCTCTGATATATGAGATGTCACTGTATTTTAAAGTACAATTTTTATAAGAAAATAAAAAAAATTACAAGCTACTTAGAAGACACATTTCAGCAATTTCAAGTAAAAAAAATCATTTCAGTAAAAAAAAAAAAAAAAATTCATGAGGTTAGTCTATCCCTTAGTTAATGGAGACAGTATAAAGAGAAGCAGGATTTATGCAGAGCAACCAAATCAAATATTTGGTCAGTATATTTTAGGGTAAAGTATGCACAGTAGTAAAAATATTCCTAACTAAATAAGTCTGGACCAATTAAATAGTTACTTTGATAGGACTTCCACTATCTTATAAATCCATTACTCAGGATTAAAGCTGTGGAACCCAGGGGAAATACTCAAGTATGTTTAATCTTAAGAATACTTCATATAAATGATGTTTCTGTGTAAATGTTTATAAAGAAATTGGTGGGTTTTCTTTGTAAAAAGGCATAGGAATTTTTTCTTGTTGTTGTTCTCAATCAGCACCTGCTTTCAATCAGGCAGAAGAAGCAGCAGATCTTGGCTGATTAAGATGAGAACAAACTTTTAAATGACTATAATATTGCTAAACCTATTGCTTTCAGAATGTCTTGTGGTCATTAAGTGAAAGAATGAGTAAATATAGTCAGGGTGACATAGGACATTTGTGACTCGACCATCAAATTACAGATGCTAATCTCTTTCTAGACTTGTCTTTTTCATTAATTACAGACTCCAAGAGTTCTCATAGAATTACAACTGTAGGTTGGCCAAGAGCATCTTTGTAAAATACAGGAAAAAAAGTTTTCCTTGCATTTTACATGCGATACGTCAT